CCCCAAAACCCCAAAACCCCAAAACCCCAAAACCCCTTTTCAAATAAGCAATACTGATGATTAATATTTAAGAATTTTCGAAGGAAGAACCAGCGGCATATCTCTTTTTGACCTTTGCTTTTGGATTTTTTCTGTTGAAAAGGACAGCTCACACTTTTCCGAGTCATAGTATAGGTCAGCTTCTACAGTCTCAAAAGTATCTGCCAGTTTAGAGGGAGAATTCAGACAAGTGTTCTAGATAAAAGTTAACATAGAATTCTGAGCAGATCGGCTATCCAAGTCATTGAATCATTTGGCTGATGACAGAAAAGAAATAGAAATTTGAGACTTACCTCCCAAAAATAGCTTCTAGCCGGATAAGCATTCTTTTGAGTCTGAGGGCGGATATCTGAAGGCTCATGAGAGCTAGATGGGTTCTCCTGAGTGAGACAGACTGGCTTGCTCTGAAGTAAAGCATTTCTGAGATTTGTGATCTTAGAGGTCTTTTGCTTAAAACTGCTCTTTGTTTGACTAGCCATTCCAATCGCCTGGTCTAACCTCTTATTAATCTCTGAGTCATAGTCAGTGGCTACAGAATGTCTCTTGTGTTTTAGCATATGTTGCTTGATCCTTTTCTTCGTATGGCTATAGCCAATCAAACCGTATCCCAAAAAGCTGAGAATGTCTGAAAGAATAGACTTACTTTTTGGTACTAAGAAGACCAGAGGTCGTATTCTTCATATCTTTTAACTCTTGATACAGGCTCGAAGACTTCTCATGAATAGTCTTCTGCAGGGTCTTGCCCGGTCAGGATGTCTTCTTACCACCCAACTTCTTTGAGGCCCGGTGTTTATCAACTTGCTTCTTGAATGCTTGCGAATTTTTGTTAGAACTAGACTTAAGACAAGGAATTACTTTCTCACTGTTAAAGGTACGAATAAGTCATGACTCTCAAGCTCCTTTACAGGCTCGAGCTGTTTCTTCCTGAAGGTTATCCATAAGCTTACTTTTTCAGGTCTTTAGGGAGAGTTGACATGATCTTTGACTCAGCAAGGGGGAATGAGTTTTTAGCTTGATTTACCTTCTTTACATAAGTCTTTACTGGCTGAGATTTTTCATAATATCCCGAGTTTTTTGGAGATAAGAAGTTCTTATCTTCTTTTATCTCCAAAGAATCTATTGAAGTTCGGATCTGAAGCCCATTTGAACTTTCTCTGTTCAGAGAAATCATCTCATTGATGCATTTTTGCAAATATTTAAAGCTAGATAGATTCAAGGTGTCAACTATCTGTAATTCGATTAATTTTTGATATTGAGTGATCTTCTCGATAAGATCTTCGTTTCAGTCATGATCATTTAAGTATTTAATCTGTATTCTGAGATCATTAACGATATTTTCTAACTGTGTGATTCTATTTTTGCCCTAATAGATAAATTCAACAAATAAGTACCTCCATTATCGCTCTGTCTTTAGCCTCTTGGAACTCAGATTTCTCATCTTGGATTGCATTCTTATCATATGTAGCCACTTTTTGGAATAGATCTTCAGTAGAAGTGAGGCCGGAACATGTTCTAGTCTCGAGTGTATTTGAGTTCTCGTGTTTTACTCTCAAATCAGAGCCCTTCTGCTCATCATTGGCATCATGTTCCTCGGCTATGTTAGCATCTCCTCTATTCTTATTACAAAGGTTGTCATGAAATAGAGTCCTAGTAAGATTATCAGATTTCTTAGGAAAATTTTCATCCTGTTTCAGCTTCCCAAATTCATGATTCTTCATAAACTTCGGTTTGCCAGGAGATGTGTCTCGATCAGGATTCATATGAAATACATGGTAATAGTTCTTAGATTCATCGAATCCATCCTTTTTGGAGTTGTTTTGGACTATAATATGGGTGTCTTCAATACGGTTCTTCCTTTTCTCACTGGAAAGTTGTTTAATTTCTTGAATCCGGTGGTCTACTTTTCTTTGGATATAGTCTTTAGCATATTTGCTCTTATTGTTCCCATCCAGAGTATGGTTAAGTATTTTGCTTATTTCCTTGTGTTGCTTTCTTGTCTTTCTGGCCCTCTCTAACTTAGAGTTTGCTCTTCTTTGTTCTAAGTATTCAGCCTGGGATTCAACTATTTTACGATTTTTCTTCGAAATGTTTGATTTTTCCGTTGTTTCTTTGGGTAGAGCTTGCTTGTAGTTGGGGAGATACTCAATATCTCTAGAATTACTGTCTATATTCTTCGAGTTTTACTATTTTCCCTCTGTATGCTACTTTCGAGGTCTAAGCTTCTTAGTCTTCTAGATTCATTAATAATTTTGGTTGACTTTCTTTCTCTTGATGTTGACATTTTCTAAAATAACCTATGATTCAACTATTAGAAACTTAAAGGGGTTTTGGGGTTTTGGGGTTTTGGGG